AACAACAACAACAATAACAACCAAAAATTAAGACACTTGGGAGTGAATCTACCTAGACACAAAAGACTCTTATAAAAAGAAAACTACAAAATATTTTTGTGGAAAAAAAAATATTTCTGTGAGACACAAAAAAAGGCATAAATAAATGGAAAAATGTTCCCTGTTCATGGATAGGATGACTTGATATTGTGAAAATGACAATACTACCTAAAGTAATCTACATATTCAATGCAATCCCAATACAGAGACCAAATTCATTTTCAAGGAGATCAAAAGTGAAATTGTCAAGTTTACTTGGAGAGGAAAGAGACTCTGAATAAGCAATGTACTTCTGAAAAACAAAATGAGGCCAGAGGCATAACACTCCCTGACCACAAAACCTACTACACAGCAGTAGTGATCAAAACAGCATGGAACTGGTACAATTAACGGGCACATAGATTAGGGGAACATAATTGAGAACTCAGAAGTGAACTAATCTATGTATGGTCAACTGATATTCAACAAGAAAATCAAACCTATGAAACGGGAAAATGACAGCCTCTTCAACCAATGGTGTTGTCAAAACTGAACTGCTACCTGAAGAAAGCTGAAACAGGATCTATATCTTACAATACACACCAAAATCAACTCACGGTGAATCAGAATTTGGAATAAATTCCCAAATCATAAAGCTCATAATAGACAAACTAGGACCAAGCTTAGAAGGCCTAGTCTACAGTATTAAGGGACTGTCAAATATCGCCAGAAATGCACAATGTAAAGAGGATAAAATTGACGAATGGGACCTTCTAAAGATTAAATCTCTGTGTTAATCAAAATCTTTTTCCAACAGAGTTAAAAGACAACCTACTGACAAGAGAATAAACATTTGGCAATACCCTCTCAGACAAGGGTCTCATAATGAAAGTTTACAGAATCTTACTGGGCCTCAAACAGAAAAAGACTAATAATCCAATTACCAAATGGGGAAAAGACATGGAAAAACTTTTCACAGAGGAGGGCATTTGGATGGCCAACCGACACTTAAAGAAATGTTCTAAATCACGGACAATAAGAGAGATGCAAATAAAAAACAATGAAATACTATTTCACTCCAGTAGCAGTGATAAAGTTTAGCAGGGCAGCAACTAATACATGTTGGAGAGGATGTGGTGAGATAAGAGCTCTTATACATTGTTGGTGGGATTGTAAAATGTACAACCATTCTGGAAGGCAGTTTGGCATTCCCGCAAAAAGCTGAACATAAAAATTCCATATGACCTAGCTATTCCACTGCTTCGAATATACCCTGAGAAAATGAGAACTGAGGCACACACAGAGATGTGTACACCAATGTTCATAGCAGCATTATTCACCATAGCTAGCTAGAACATGGAAACAGCCCAAATGCCCAACCATGATGGAATGGATTTAGAAATTATTGTACATTCACACAGTGAAATACTATGTAACACACAAGAGCAATGATTTTGTAAATTACTACCTAACATGAGAGGGACTGGAGAGCATTATGCTAAGTGAACTGACTCAGTCTTATAAAAATAAGTGCTCAGTAGACCATTATTATGGAACTGGAGCCTAATCATATGATCACTTAATGGAAAGGGGAACAATCCCTTATGAAAAACAGTGGATAAGAACTTTATGAACTTTGTATGTAAACCAGTATGAAATAATTTTTTAAAAAGGGGGGAAAAAAAAGCTAACTCGTTACAAGGTCAGTTTTGAGTCAGTTATGACTTAAGGGCAAACGGCAAGAAATTATTTTTATGTTCTACAGGGATGAGGAACTGAGATAGACAAGAGATCCGCTCTCCCACTGAATATTTGTTACAACCTTGATTCAGATGATCAATATTGTTTTTCTGTGTTATTTCTCGGTTGAGTTTTTGTTTTCTAATCAGTAATGGACTTTAGTTTTTCTCTCAACTTATACTTAGAATCCTTCAGGTCAGTTCCGACTAGTCTACAACATCAGATAAATGCTTCTGAGCTTCCTAAATCAATTTTCTAGGAAAACTGCCTCTAGTTAAATTCAATCTCTTTGATTTCCTACTCTTTTCAAAATAATTTAGAGATCCTCTTGTGACTCCTCACACTTTCAAGGATCTCCTGTAGGTTTTTTTTTCATGTCTTTAGGAAGCATTGGTTAAGTGTTTCAGAAACAGTACCAATATTGTTAAGTATAATTGCTTGGGTAGTGACATTAAACACTTTCAATTTCCTTCTGAACACAATACATACTACTGTAATTCAGCATTTTCTATTTCAAAGCTTGTGGTGGTTTCAGAAAAATAGAGATAAGTGTTTCTTTAAATAGAATAGCTGTACTTGTGGGCTTTCAATGATAATGTTCAGCGACCACTAATTTTATGTCTTACCAGGCAAAACCGTATTTTACTCATTATGAGTGAAGCACATTTTGAGACTCTTTTAGACAACTGTATGAAATTTCAGAGTAAACTAATACTTGCCTGAGCTCTGCAGAAACAGAAATTTATATGCGCGTTTTGAAAAAAAACACAAACCCTTAGTTTTACCATCCAATTCGTTTAACAAATTATAGGATTTTTCCTGGCTTTGTCATCTGGAACTTCAAGCTGCTTAGAATCCACAGGGAGTATTACTAGAGATTACTCGGTACTCAGAATTATTGAAAAGAGAGGCCTGCTCTTTGGTTCATATTCATAAATCCCAATCTTAACTCATTGAATGTAATGGAAATCAGAATATGGCTCTTATTCCCATCTTGATACTCCTACTATGTGATAAGATAATATATCCTAGAATATAAGTTTCTTTAGGGACACAGGACACTTGGGCATGTCCTGTGAAATGAAAACATATGAACGTTTGTTTGATACTATTAATTGAGCCTGGAGATGATTTTACTGGGAAGAAGCAGCAATTTGAAAATTAAACTGACCATTTGCATTTGAAAAACATGAGAACCCTGCTTCCCAGACAAACCTTTAATATTAGTGATAACATAAGGTAATGGTTACCTACATACATGTATAAGAGACTTGTATATAAAGAAAACATCTTTTTTCTAGTATTGAAATGAAGGAATGATAAAAAAATGTAATTTAAAAGAGTTTTACCAAAGACAGTGAGCTCTGCTGGATCGCTGTCTCTTTCTCCCACCATATTGGTACCAACACAAGTATACATCCCTGCATCACTTTTTCTGGTATTGGAGATCATCAATTTTCCACCACGGATCTGTTGAATAAAATCAAACAAAAATATAAAAAAAAAGTGGAAAGGAAACAAAGAAGGAAAACCCATTAACAAAGAATTTTGATGACATTGTATGTGTTTTTCCTTCTCTTTAAATTATCTTGCATATAAGCTGCCATATTCCCCTGCTAGATAAAGTTCACTCTGGCAGCCTTCCTCTCCCTTGCTGGGTCCTATTTCTGGCATTGTTACTGTCTTCATAAAATTAAGTGCTTTTCCCTCACATTTGAATGAATTGTAATTACCATTTGCATCGGCAAGAAACACCTGCTATAGGTAATGCAGTGAAACCGAGCTGACTCATAAAATTTGAACAAGTAATTCTTGACTATCTCTATGACTATGTCTATACACAGTGTTGTAGACACCTGGAATACAGTAGTAAATTAAATGTCAAAAATTTATGTCCTCGCGGAACTCATGTATCAATTTTTAATGTTATCTTTATAGCAGATGATTGTTGTTGTTGCATACCATCAAGTCAGAATATATAAACTTATTTAAAAGACGTTTTAGTAAGAAAAAAAGTGTGTGTGTGTGTGTGTGTGTGTGTGTGTGTGTAAAATGGTGAGTATAAATCAGTACAAATAATTATTTTTAATAATTGCTCTTTAAGTGAATCTTAAAATAAATAAATAAAATAAATGTACATAATACCATTAAAATATCCGTTTCCTAAAGGAGTTAATAAAATAAAATTGGGTTTTTAATCCATACACTAAAAAATGCATGATTCATAGATTCCTTTTCGATTTTACCTACTCATATTAGACTCAACCACCAGAGCTTTACAATGACTGAGAGTTTTAATGAGATACTAGATAAATACTGGCTGGTTTCCATGGATGTTTTAAAATTCCATTGGAGAACAAAACTCATGCAAGTTTGATCTCATCAGAGATACTCTGCACTCCAAATTTGACATTTCATATAAATTAATTGAAGTTTTTTAAAAAACCCAAACAAACCCTAAATAAAATATGGATGAAAGAGACCATCAACCCAAACATCATTATTTCCAGGAGCACTTAATGGTATTGTAACTTTCACCAATAAAAGAACTAGGGAAAATATTACATGAGAAGCAAATTACTCACACATTGAGATTTGTCTTCTTTTGTCAAAGTTTGAACTCTGAGATTACTATAGGAGAGCAGACCTGACCTAGCCTACTGGAAAATTAGAGTCTGTGAAGAAGAGGACTGAGATGGTCAATTGAGTCTGAACCCTGTTAGCCATGTGAGAACAGCTGCTATACAGTGATTCTGACTCATGATGGCCCCATATATATCTCAGAATAGAACTGTGTTCAACAGATTTTCCCCCCAGTTACTGATTTATTGTAAGATTTCTGACCTTTCTTCTGAGCTATCATTGGGTGGACTGAAACCTTTAACATTAAGATTAGCAGCAAGTGCATTTGAACTATGCAGGTGATAGATAATTCTATGCCAATTTTCCAGCACCAACAACTATTTAAATAGACCACAGAAGAAAAGCAAACCTAGTAGAAATCAAGTGAGCTGGCCCAGACAAGAACCAACAACATGCCCAGAGAATCACGGTTTAAATAAAATGTCTTTTATAAGACACCGCATTTTGGAGTAGCTTGTAAAGATAAATGCCACAAACATCAAATGAGAACTTTTGAACATTATTTTTTACTCTATCACCAGGAAGACATTTTCATAAGCTTAATTCCAAGTATAGATCATTAGAAAACAAATTCTCTTTGGCATTGTGACTCTATCCACATGGTCAAGACAGAGAGATTGGATATAAAATCATCCACAGTCTATCCGGTTCTGCAACATGTCATAATCACAATGAGCACATAAGAAAATTCCTCACTTTTCTTTTTAAAACGGATAGATGATCAGACTACACAAATTTTTATTTGCAGTGTGTTTTCTCAAAAGAGATATTATTTTAAGTAAAAGAAATTAATTTTCAAGTATCGTACTGAGAATGACATTTAATTGAATAACATTAAGAGGTTGTGTCACTATATACTATTTCATTGAACTAGTTTTTATTTACAAACCTCACATAGCTTCATAGGTGGATCCTGTGACAAAATAGAAGGATCACAGGCCCTGCAGCAACATCATTAGTTTCTGGGTGTCCCATTAACACCAGACTATTTTTCTTACTTTGGCTAAGCTGTAGAACGAGTCATTTACTTTTTACTTTGGTTCTAGTTCCTATCTGTGAAAAAGAAAATCTTCTGAATTCATTCATGTATAAATGTTATAAAGATTATTTCGTTAGAAGAACTGAAAAAATGGCTGAAGATATTCATCAATGTAAATTATTTTCTTTTATAATTTTGAAAAATAGTGGCTAAGGAAATATTCTAGTTAATCTGGTTTATGGCCATCATTTGCAGTTTCACATTTATGCATTGCATAATCAATAGATGCATTTGGCGATTTTAAAAGGAGCTAAAATATCAATGCTGTACGGTACAGGTATTTATCATCAGATTGGTGTGATTATTAATATGTATCATACATAACTGGCATATATTTTGGTCTTTTTAAAACCTCATTCTCAAATGTTATTTTTAAAATAATGTGATGCTTTTTGAAACTTCTTTCAATACCAATATATACGGTCTATGTGGATTTTTTTTGGTTATGAACAGTCAAGAATAATTGTGTAACTATATTAATAAGTGAAAAACAAAACATATCTCTCAGACTTGATATGCAGTTTCTCTATACCACACTTTTTATGTGACTCACACTTATTCTTTCTTCTTTATCATCTATTCGGACTTTGTCTTTCTTCCAGTAGATGGTGGGTTCAGGGTGGCCCCGAGGAGGCTGGCACTCCAGAATGGCAGGCTCTCCTGCCGCCACCACAACGTCGGTGGGGTTTTGCCGGAAGTCATCTCGCAACACTAAAGAAGAATTAGAGTAAAAGAAAACTCAGTAACAATGATTTCTGCAAAAGGTAACTTGCTTCTGGATATGCAGGAAGCAAGAATTTTAAAGTGCAAATAGCTAGAACCCAATGACAAAATTCTGGAGCCTTCTTAAGTGCTTATCAACAAGGGGATAGCTACATACATGATGGTGCACCTTTGTCTTAAAACACTCTTTAAAAGCTGACAATTATCTCAAAATGAGATGAGAGATATTAATAACTTAGTATTGAGTTTTGGATGGGTGGTTTTGAGGTATTTTGAAAGCAAGGTGCAGAATTATTTATGCAGTATGTTGGTATTCTCTAAAAAGTCAAAATTTATATTCCTATATCTAGACATATAATGTAAAATGAATGTTAAAGTTATATGAAAGCCCTGAAACGCACCACAAAAATGTCATCTGTAAGCATGTGTCAGACTGTGAGAGAACGTGAGGTGAAAACTCGAAAGAAATCCTTTCTCATGACATGAATATGGACAAGAGCGACACTGTTTTCATTATGCTTCAGAAGGTAGACTCATTGTTCCCCCTTGCAACGCACTAGCACCCACATCCACAGGGCTACATTTTCATTCTCTGTGCATCTCCACCTGCCGAGCGACATCTGGGCAGCGTGACATTCTGAGCACAGTTATCCCTTATAGCAGTTTTGTCAGTCTGAATTTCCCCTCCTTTCATTAAGGCGAACAGCAGGTTGGACCTCCATCGCAACCTCTGAAAATCTGGCATGCCTGGCTCTCCAAATGTCACCTATCTATCTGCTCGTGCCCTTTTGCTGCTGGCAAGTTAAGAAGTCTGGCGAAGTCACTAGACTCTTATCAGATGGCAGAAACCTGGGCCTATTTAGCAAATGTGGGCTAAATGTACCTTAAGGTAGTGGGTGTTAAAAAAAAAGTAGTTGAGAGCCATCATTGCACCATATGCTTCAGACTAGCTCTGGTAACATCATCTTTGATATCCCATCAAAGTTTTCCACCAAAAGTTTGACAAGTTTGGTTTCAAAATATGTCCAGTGGTAAAATACACACATTACATATTACACAAACATACATGCTGCTGGCACAACAGTTAAAAGATCAACTATCAGCAGAAACACTGGCAATCTAAACACATTCTGTGGTAGAAAAGATAGGGTAGTCTGCTTTCATAAAGGTGACACCCAACAAGACCCTGTGGGATCAGGGGTTTTTGTATTATAAGTTAAAATTAATTGGTTAGCACTATGAGAGGGAGGGGGCACCAAGAGTTTTGTTGTTGTTCAGTTCCTTACTTCTCATGGAGGAGACTCAGGCTCTTTTTCCAGCAAAAGGCAACACACACAGAGCTACCATTCACCCCAGTGTCTGTGGTGGTATACATTTTGCTACGGTGCTGAGCAAGTTTCAGTGAAGCTTCCAGACAGACAGAGATAAGGAAGAAAGGCCTGAAAAACAGCCAGTGCAAACTCCCAAAACTCACCACTGACTGACCTGCAACCCAATCATGAAGCTGGCCCAGGAGTTTGGCTGGCATGAGTTGAGGCCAACCAGGAGGCAGCTAAGGAGCACTGGTGGCCTAGGGGGGAGAAGCTGCACTGCAATCTCTAAGGCATGTAGTTCAAACCCACCAGCTGCACCATGGGATAAGGATGGGCAAGCTCCTCCTAGGTGATTAACTGCCTCTGAAAACTCCCCAGAGGATCAGTTATGGGTCGGTTCCGACTTGATGGCACAGAGCAACAACAACCACCACAAGAGGCACCTAACCGCAATGCTTGTGTGTATATAATTGGTCAAGCCATGTGAAATAAAAATTAGGCAGTTTGTGCTATCCTCTTATGTAAATCATGGGCTGCAAACAGGGATTAGGGCAAAGCAACTGCCTTCTGTGCCCTGTAATGAGACCCACTTCAGCACTCTGCTGCTTTGTTGTGCCAAGTCTCTAGGTTAATTGTCATTCTCCAAATAAATAAAAATCCCTGTCCAGAAAATAGCTCCAGAGAGACAACTGAGCGGCATTCAAAGCTTTTCTTTTCTTGCCTGCTGTAACACTGTTTTCTATCTTAATGAAGTCATGGCCCTTTAGGAGATTAGAGAACCTTGTCTCTTATTGAAGGAGCAGTAAGAAAGAATTCAGCACAAATTGTTCACTCTCAGTTTATAAGCTGATTAATTTACTGCTTTTGCTGTGAAGGAAATGTGTTCCATTTTAGCACTGGAAGCTGTAAGTTTTTGGTCCCCTAACCTTGTCTAACTGGTAAGAAAGGTGTGATTTATATGCATAGGATTTGCTTCTGAATGAATGGGCTGGGAGAAGTGTGCATTTAGCTGTGACATTCAGGTGATGAGAAGGGGTTAACACTGTAGTTCCCCCTTGCAGGTAAATCCTCCAGGGAGCATAAGCTGGTGACTCATTTATATTCTAAATACAGAACAGCTGCCTGTTTATGCAATGTTAAGAAGTGCAAAAATATGGTAACATGGTGACAAGCACTCCTACAATATCCGGTACTGGCAACAAATGGTGTTTTGGCAGGTCCTCAATCTGCTCCAAAAGGCACATCTGGCCAGTTGAAGGACCTTCTCCAGACTGTTATCCTAAAAAAAAAAATTGTGTGTCCAAAAGACTCCACTCAAAATATACTTAACACCAGAGCAAACATTTAGAAATACAGGGGTGCTGAATTGCAAAAAAAAAGAAAAAGAAAAGAAATCCACTGATTTAGGGGGGCAGAAAGGAGAAGAATATCATAACAAAGTATAAGGTCTGCTACTGTTAAACAATATAACATGTGTTTATGGCATTCATAGGGAAAAAAAGAAAGAAAATGACTTCAATTTGCAAATGAAGCCAAGAAATTGAACATCAAGTGTAATTTCAGGCTTTCAGACTATTCACCCTGAGTGGAGGGTGAGATAATGGTATAATTGGTACTGTACCCTCTTCAACTTGTAAAATGCTCTTTGGGGCTTGTACAGTATTCAGTGAATTCATTTCATTTATTGATATCATTTCTCTTGCTCTAAGTCTTTGTGGTAGTAAAATGTGATCATTTTCTCTCCCTGAAAACATTCAAGAAAAGAATATTTACTTTTCAGCAGGTTCTAGCACAGCAAATGGTAATGGGAATTAGTCTTATGAAACATTAAAGTCACTTTATTCCTTCTAAACACATAAAGCAGGATACATGTGTTCTAATATTTACTTATGTATTTATAAAGTTCATGTACCTATGTATAAATATGAGCAAAATAAAACAAAATCATATTTACCAGTTCCAACTTGTAAACTGTCAGGGAATGACTTCAAGGATATCATCTATGAATAGAGCTAAAGGCCATTGCAAAGAAAGAGGGGTAAGAAAAAAACCAAAACCAAAATGGATGTCACAAGAGATGCTGAAAATTGTACCAGAGTGTCAGGAAGCCAAAACAAAGGAAAGAGATGCTGAAGTAAAAGAGCTGAACAGAAGATTTCAAAGAGCAGCTAGCTCAAGAAGACAAAGGCAACTATTATAGCAGAATATGGAAAGATCTAGAATTTGAGAGTATAAAGGGAAGAATTCTCTCAGCATTTCTCAACCTCAAAAAACTGAAAAACAAATTTAGCCTTCAAATTCCAATACATACAGACGCTGTGGGCAAAATCTTGAATGATCCAGGAAGCATCAAAAGAAGATGGGGGGAATAGAAAGAATTGCAGTACCAAAAAGAACGGACTGACACTGACATATTTCAGGAAATACTATCTGATCAAGAGTTAATAGTAATGAAGGAAGAAATTCATACTGCATTGGAGGCACTGGCAAAAAAAGTAAGTCCCCAGGAATTGATGGGATATCAACTGATATATTTCAAATGACAGATACAGCCCTGGACATACTTATCAGTTTATGCCAGAAAATTTGGTAGACAGCTGTATGGCTGATTGACCAGAAGAGATCCCTATTTGTTCCCATTCTCAAGAAATAGGATCCAATAGAGTTTGGAAATTATCAGAAAGTAGCATCACATGTAAGCAAAGTGTTGCTTGGGATCATACAAAAATGGCCTTAACAGTACATAGACAAAGAATTGCCAGACTTTCAAGCAGGATTTAGAAAAGCCCGTATTACTAGGGATATGACTGTTGATGTCAGATTGATCCCGGCTGAAAGCAAAGAATACCAGCGGAATGTTTATTTGTGTTTTATTGTTTATGCAAAGACATTTGACTCTGTGGATCATAACAAATTAGGGCTAACATTGAGAAAAATGGGAGTCTCAGAACACTTATTTGTGTTCACGCAAAAACCTATACCTAGATTAGAAGGCTACTGAGTGAACAGAGCAAGGGAACACTACATGGTTGAAAAATAGGAAGGGGGTGTGTCAGGGTTGAATTATTTTGCATACCTACTCAATCAGTATGCTGAGCAAATTATGCAAAAAGCTGGACTCTGTGAAGAAGAATGTGGCATCAAGATCAGAGATCTTCATTAACCTTCATTATGCAGATGACACAACCTTGCTTACATAAAGTGAGGAGGACTTGAAGCATTTGCTGCAGAAGATCAAACACTGCAGCTTTCAATCAAACACTGCAGCCTTCAATATGGACTGCATTTCAGTGTCAAGAAAACAAAAATGTTCACTAATGGACCAGTAGACGTGATCATGATAGAAGGCGAAACGTGAGATTGTCAGCGACTTCATCTTGCTTGGATCCACACTCAACACACTTGGTGCTAGCAGTCTGGAGATCAGGATATATATATATTGCACTGGGAAAGTCTGCAGTCAGGGACCTCTCCAAATTTTTGAGGAGCAATGACATTAGTCTTAGGACTAAGGTGCACATGAGCCAGACCATGCTGTTTTCAACCACTTGCTATCCATCTGGGAGCTGAACAATAAATGATAGAGGAGAAAAGGATGGAGGCTAGGATGGTCAAGTTTTGTCTTGCTAACTCTGGACATGTTGCTCAGAGGAATTATTTCTTGGAGAAGGACAG